AATAAAACGTTTGGGGTTAAAACTAAGTTTGGGGGGATGGGGGGTAAATGACTATTTTTTAAATACCCAACGGCTATTTTTTAAACCCCCAATGGCTCCTTTTTTCAAAAGCCAAACAACTCTTTTTAAAAAAAATAATATCNAAACCCCCAACAGCTCTTTTTTTCAAAAGCCAAACGGCTCTTTTTTTAAAAAAAAAATATTCGTTGGGTCCGTTTGGCCCGCCAAGGGACCGGTCCGGTCCCGGTCTCTTGCGGGCCAAACGGGCCCGGTCCTAACGGTTCCTAGCTTAGAACCAGCCCACGAGACCAGTACGAGCCCACCTCTAGTGGGCCAAACGGTCCTAGCTCGTGGTCCCAGGCCCGACCCGACCATCGGGTCCATCCGCCCTCAAATATGATATATCGGGTCCATCCACCCTCAAATAGGATATATCAGATTTATCCGCAGTCAAATAGGATATATCGGATTTATCCGCAGCCAAATAGGATATATCGGGTCCATCCGCCCTCAAATAGGATATATCGGGTCTATCCTCCCTCAAATAGGATATATCGGATTTGAAGTTTTAGCAAATGAACTAAATAACTTAAGCATGTTTAGTCTGAAGTTTTAGCAAAGCAACTAAATAACTTCAGCATGTTTAGTCTGAAGTTTTAGCAAATGAACTAAATAACTTAAGCATGTTTAGTCTGAAGTTTTAGCAAATGAACTAAATAACTTCAACATGTTTAAACTGAAGCTTCGGATAAAATTGTAGACTGCAGGATAAATAACTTCAGCATGCATTAACATGAAGTTTTAGCTTCAATGTGAAATAACTTCATGCTATATTAGCATGAAGTTTTTGTAATGTGATTGCCAAAGAAACAAGATTACAGGCTCAAAGAGGTTAACTAAGATACATAACAATTAGATGGAACAGTCATGGTGAGGCGATGACTAATATTTTTTAGGTCGTTTTTGATGGGCCAGCAAAATTTTAGGCAATTCGGGTCCGGCCTTCGGAGCCCATGCAGATGGTGTGGGCTATATCACATTGAAATATGAGAATCGGGTAAAATTCCAGTTTTATGGCCATAAAATACCAAAAAACGAGAAACGGTCATGGAGAGGCGATGACTAATTTTCCTTAGGTCATTTTTATGGGCCCGATCCGGAATAACGTGTACACTACCGAGGGACGTACGACACGATCCATAGATGCATCTATATTGCCGAGGCGTTCGGCTCGCTCTACAAGAAAGGAGGACATTTTATGAACCTCCGGAATGAGAAGCTATCACAAGGCTAACACATAAGGATATATAATTTTTATTAACGATCGAGTAATTTGCACAAAAATTCAAGTATGTAAAATTTCGGTCTTTTACTATATCATCTAACAATTTTCAATATGATTCAAGTACTTTAATCAATAAAGGATGCAAACATTAAAAGTAATTCATGATTTTGGTATTTTGATCGTGCTAGCAAGTTCGTATGATATTTTTGGACTTGTGTGCATGTTTGATTTGGAGCCCCGGGGGCTCGGGTGAATTTCGGATAGGCTACGGGTGGTTTGAAACTTAGAAAATCAGGTTTTTACTTAGCTTCAGTTGTCATCTATTTTCCTTCTTCGCGTTCGCTAAGGCACAACCGCGAACGTGTAGAGTGAACGGGCTAGGTGGAATTTTGCCTTATGCGAACGCAAAGGGCTGTACGCGAATGCGAAGTGGTCCGATTCGTGATTTCGGATGTTATATTGATGATTTGATCGTGTGAGCGAGTTCGTGTTATGATTTTAGACTTGTGTTGGTGTTTGGTTTGGAGCCCCGATGGTCCGGGTGAGTGTCGTATGCATTTCGGAGTATTTGGGAGAGTTTTAATGTTGTTGGCGTGAACATGTGTTGTAGGCCTCGCAAATGCAAGGTGGGAGATCGTATTTGCGATGTTAACCTTCTACTAGGTTTGACTTCGGTCAACATTTTAAGTAAATGGACCCAAATCAGTATTTTGACGGTCCTGGTGGGTCCGTATCGTGATTTGGGACTTGGGCGTATGCTCAGAATCGAATTCGGAAGTTCCTAACTCGATTTATCATAATTTGTTAAAAACTAGAAGGGCTGAGTTCTCATTTTATGGCCCTAAATTGCTAAAATATAAGGAACGGTCATGGCGGGTTAGTGACCAATTTTACGTAGGTCAATGTCAGTTATCCGACTAAATTTTAGGCGATCCGGGTCCAGAGGACCGGGCTCAAGCAAAAGGCGTGGGCTATAGCAGAAGAAGAAGATAATGATGCCATGGATTTAGTTAATTGTCTAAAGAAGAAAAAAGAAAATTGTATAGATATATTGTGGTTGTTGTAGGAAGACAATTGATGATATTTCCGACTAAGTTAAGAAAAGAAGACAAGAAATAAATAATTATCACTCCAAAAATGAAAAGTTTCTAAAAAAGATGGGCTCTACTCCATACAATTATTGCTATTGGATAATGTAGCATTATATATGGTAGGGTTACATTCAGTATTACTTCGAAGGACGTAAATCCATGCTCTTCTCCCTAGATCATATATAATATTAGGTGCATCTCTCTAAGTGACAGTGTGTGTTCAAATCTTACATCAATCTTATTATTTTTTTTCTTTCTAAAACTAGGCATCACATGGTGTGTATTAATTAAGTGCATTTCTTTTTCTTTCTTTCTTTTTGATTTATTCTTTAAAAAAATTCACATATTGAAATTATTATTTTTTTTCGTCACCGAAAAATCTTATATGATTAAATAAAATGTGCATATTAAACTAGTGGATGATGCAATATATAGCTATTAGGTTCAACTTATCCCAACATTTTCAGCACGAAGTATGGATATAGATGTAAGAAAATTATTATTAAAAATAATAGTTTTGAACTTATAATTCCAAACGTATAATGGGTGCAATATTAAGAACCAAACATTGAACCTATAGAATTTATATCCTGGATTCACCTCTCCGTAATAATGTACCAATCCTCCTAAAATTCTGGATCCGCCTCTGTCTACCCCTAATATAAAGTAAATAGTAGGAGTTTTTTGTGGAGCTTCTTCTTAAGCAGTACTATGCAGTGGCAGAGCCACATGCACCAAAGTCGCCGAAAAATTATACTGTATACCTCGATAATTTTTATATAAATATGTATATATACTATATAATGACACCATTTGACTTTTTGATGAGTTTATTTCTTTATATTTTAACTTTCCTTAATGAAAATCCTGACTCCGCCACTGGTACTATAGTCTTATTTTTCTTTGCGCATATAGAAAGTGACAACAAATATAGGTCCATAAATGAGAAGAATGTTACTTTTCTCCATTGTTTTATATAGAAGGATCAACTGCTGTAATTAATTACAACAAACTTTACCTTTGTAACGTCCATGTCGATGACTTGAAAATCTATATTGTCAATTTTTCCTTTTGGGAAGAAGAAGCAATTTTGATATATGCATTATATCCTTTGTCGCTTGTTGCAAAATTGCAGTGCATTTTCCTCTAGCTCTGTTGCCTACTTTTCGAAACCCCAATAAATTCTGAGTATTAAATAAAATTGAATCAACATTTAAATTCATTAAGAAAACATTAGTACTCCCTCCGTTCACTTTTACTTGGCACGTTTTGACTTTTCACACCCCTTAAGAAATAATAAATGAAGTGTATAATTTACCATGATACCCATATTAATTGATATATTTTTTATTGGATTTGAGAAAATAATTTGAAATGAGTAATAAATACTGTGAGTATAACTGGAAAAAAAATATTGTCTTCTCTTGATATGAGTAAAGTGACAAGTAAAAATAAAAATCTATTTTTAGTATACATGCCAAGTAAAAGTGAACGGAGAGAGTATTAAGTGCTAGCTGTAATTTACTAAATCAACCTTATTTATTTCCTTGACTATTAAATGCTAATATTAAAAAGCGAGTACCTACTAATAATTACTTTCAATCTATTAAATAGCAAGAGTAAAATTGAAAGAAAAAATAATAATTTTGTTAAATTTTTAAAGCCACGGATTTTTTGAAACATTTTTGGGCAAAAACGACAATTAAAATTGGATAGGGGGAGTATCATTTTTTTTTCATCGCATCCATAACAATATTCCTCAATTTCATGTTTTTAATACATTTCCTACCAACAAATGGTGGAAAATCAAACTCTATTAATGTTCAGCATCCAAATTCCCAAATTCATGAATCTAGGCTAAATTCTTAACTAGTTCATAATCTTGTTCCACACTGAAAGGAACTCAATTCATAAATTTTGAGGTAAAAAATTGTCCAAACCCATGCTATATTTGGCATACAACAAACTTAACTTTACCTATAAACCATTTGGATACTTGATGGATCTGAATTTAGTAATTTGGTCTCGGCGGTCTTCCATATCATCAAATTAGACCGCAATAAGTTATAATTCAATCATTTTCTCTCAAAAGACTAAGCGAAACTGGAGATAAGTTGACCAATTTAGTAGATATAAAAGAACGATTCAACCAGTGGCGTATGCATGATTTTGCATAAGTTGTGTAGACACGTTAAGAAATAGTGAACCAACGGATACTTGTAAGTTGAGACTCGAAGAGCAGGGCGACAAGCCCCCAACAAAGGGAGTGGTCACATCGAGTATGTCCCCCCTTATTCCCGGCATCCTATGGCACCCCGAAGTAGCTAGGAGCGGATCAAGTCTTATTGAATCTACTCAACGAGGAGCAGACGTAGATGATATTATCACGGTCTCTCTTTTTGTACTGCTAGGGAAGCTTAACGTCACTTTGCCAATTGGCATTACCTGCCTTCTATCCTAGTGAACAATGTTCCACTGATTAGGCGGGGACAGGATTCGAACTTGTAATCTTCCGGTCATGAGCCTGATGATCTGACCCAAGTCCGATATCCGGCATTCTCTTTCGTTGATGAGAATTCGAACCACACAGGATTTTCAGTCTAACTAAGCTACCTAAAGCACTTTGAAAAAAGTTTCCTTTCTTTATGCAGTTTGGCCGCAACCTGAGTTTTCTTTTACATGTACATATGCTTTCTCAAAAGCTTTTCATCTGCACTTGTCAGGCAAAACTCGAAGCAGCCTGAGTTTTCTTGCAACTATTATGCGTCAAAGAATTCACCCTGCCAAACTAATTCACCCTACCAAACCCCAGTAAAATTAACTAACTGATGAAATGCAACCACCTGGAACTGTTTTTCCTGCATAATTACATAACATTGCAAATGGAAAAAACTGCTAGGATCAGGTCTCTGTATGTTTATCCAGTTTAGGAGTGAGACAAGGATACTCGAAATCTGTTTTTATCTCTGAGCCAGAACTTGCATTTTCAACAAAGCTGTTGAACTTGGCATAAGGTCATCTTTGAATGTCACATCTGAAGCTTACTCATGTTCTGTTTGTAATTTCCATTGCTCATGACAGATCCTCGAGGCTGAAAAAAGATATACTTGCTTCCTCTAGTAGATTTTTAGGCATTTTCTCAAATTGCAGAGAAACATATTGCCTTTCATCGCTAGTGTATAAAGACTGCAATTTTGATGGACTGGTTTAAGAACAGCTTATCTGCAAGACACCTTTCACATGTCCCGAGGGAAGCGCACTGACATGTTGAGATTGCAATTCTAAAACTCTTCAACGAATGAAAGGTAATACACTGCAAAACACCAGAAAAGGTAGTAAGATAACAAAGACAGGAAACAAGAAAGAATCAAGGCACAGGAATCGTTGCTTTAAAGAAGCCAAACAGAGAACTAAGTTTAATCATAGGGAGGGCGACAAAGAGGTGAAAGAGCAAAATTACAATAGTGTAGCAATTTGGGCTATACACACATATCTTAAAATTGATACTTGAGTTGAACAATCCCCAAAGTAGATTAATTAATATAATATGCCTACATAATGAAACCAACTTGGTTATGAAAAACCAGACAGAATGAATAGTACTAACAAAACAAACAAAAATATGTCACCAAAGATAGTAATTTGCCTCTTTGAATCAACTGACTCGTTTGTGATAAGATAATACAAAAAAGTATGAAGCATCCTTGTATGCACACAGCGGTTCATATAAATTATTGACTTTTTCTCTTTTGGTGTTATAGACAAAGAATGGTATAACAACAAAAAGAAATAAAGTAAAGTTACTCTATTTCTAGCAGTTTTGTGAGCTAATGAAAATTCACCTGGCTATCATGGGGAATCACAAGCCACCAAAACCTAACATCAATTTCGTCAGTTTATCCAAAATTGCATTAGTTAGAATCCATCTTACAGCATCATTCACAAGTCAGGAGAAACTTCCGCCGATCCATTCAATACTATTTGGATAACATCTTTCATCACTCCAATGATCATTATTCACAGGGTAATTAACTTTTGGAACGAAATCCACCTACTAAAAGGTGGTTACAGATGATAGTCTTAGGTTCTCTAATTACATAAATCACTTCCTGGCCTGAGAGATCACGAGGGAGAACGAACCTCAACTTCATCTCGTACTCAGCTTTCTCCACATTCACAATTCCAGGTTCTGATTTGAGCACAAAAAGTTATACTTGTTGGAATCCTTTAACTCACCATGGTTAAGATGGAGAATCAATAGACAAAAACTCATTGTTGATATGTACATCACCCATTGATGAGCTCCTGTAAATAGGGGAAAGAAAACGAAAAAGGAAAAAGTAAGAAAGAATGAGAAGAAAATATATTTTTGGAAGAAGACTTTGTAGCTAATAGAAGGAGAGAACACAAATTTCAATACCAACTAGAAAAAAAAAAACAAGGCATGAGGTATATACCTCTATCTGAGCTAAAATCCTGGGTTTGCAGGAAAGAGCTGCAAAGTTTCTGAAGAGACAGGCCCCTCTACTTGTTGCTGCAGATTCTCAAAGACAGAGCTCCCCTGAATATTAGAAATGTGACTCTTTTGTTTCTTACCCGAGGAGCAGCTGGCTTCATTGATCACGAAGTCGTGTTCACTATTGTTATATCGGGTCCTCCTTATCCAAGTGGAATGTTCTGTTGGTTCATGGTTATTTTCCCTCATTTGTAACAAGGCCTCAACCTCAGGTTCTTCTTTATACAACAAACGAAGTCCACACTTCTTCACTTCTCCAGAAAAAGATAGCCTAATAAGCCCATAGTCATTTGGTGTTTTTCCATTTGCCTTAGATGTATCCCATAAGCCAGCAAGAGGTACCAAGAAAAAATTAATATTATATTTTGTATCACATTCTGAATGGTTGGATAAGGCAAGTTTCTGGGTCATCCACAACATCCCATCATCACATACGGGAATCAATTGAGCTGTGGTGCCAATTAAGCTGCCAGAGTAATATACAGCAAATCCCAAGAATTTATCAGGTATATACCAATTTCCAGGCAAATTGACTGACACACCACTATCCGTATTGACTGATACACCACTATCTGTTCCCTGATAGAGGAACCAACTTGGCTTCTTCCCAAGATGCACACTGGTAAATACTCTTAGTGACAAGGAATCTGAAGCAGAGATGTCATGCTGCACTGACGAGATATTCTGAAACAACGAATTACAGATCAAATCATTGCTCCAATCTGCATATATTGTATCTGATTCTGGTGGAAGTTCTGGCAGCTGTGTAAGCCTCTTGCAATTTCTTAAGTTCAAGATTCGAAGAGCACCAAGTTGGGCTATACTTCGAGGCAAATGCTCAAAATTATTTCCACTGAGATACAATTCTTTCAAAGAAGATAGGCATCCAATGTCTTCCGGAAGTCCTCCATCTATTAGATTGCAACAAGTGAGATCCAGATGTTCCAATGACCGTAATCCTTCAGCCGCTGGAGGGAACTCAAAGTGCACTCCATCTTGGAGGCCTCCAAACTTCAGGATTTTAAGTTTGTTCAAGCGTACGATGGTAGACGGAGGTCGTGAAATTAGAGCATACCTTGCATAAAGNTGGCATAAAACTCCTCCAAGTTTTCTAAATCCCCTATCTCTTCTGGCAAGCTTTCAAGTTTTGTGCAGCCCGACACATTTAGACTAACCAAACTTTTCAACCTACAGATGCTGCTTGGAAGAGCTACAAGGTTTTTCATAGCGCTCAAATCTAGGAAGGTAATATGAGTTTGGTACTGAATAATAGATGATGGTAGTTCCCTTATCCCAGAGCGTTTCATGTGAATCTGTATCTCCGGCTTCATTCTCCCATGGATTTCTGGAAATTTCTCTAAACTACAGCAAAAATCTAGATCCAGATATTCAAGAGATTCCACGTTAACACATGGAAACCAATTAAGGCGTCCACAAGACTCCAAATTTAACCGAATGAGTTTTCTGCAAAATCCCAAGGAATGGTGAACCTCTTCAAGATCACAACATTCCTCCAGATTCAAATACTCCAAATTTGGCATCCCCGTGAAATCTGGCGTTCGCACCAGGCTTTCAGAGTATCTGAGATCTAGCGTCCGTAGAGACGACAATTGCTGTTCAGAATGCAAATGGAATGAGATAGAGAGAGAAGAAAAAAAGAACCTATTTTGCTCCTCCACTGGATTCCAATAATAAAATATTTGGCTAGTGGGGCTATCTATGAATGTAGAAACTATTTTGTTTTATCATTTGTATTTGTGGGCATCAAATGACCTCTGTTTCTTAAATTCTTAATTACTTGTTGCTAGCGTTCCTAAAAAGTAATCCATTTATGACTCCCTCGACAACAAATGAATGATAGCATTTGAATTATGAGGGCCAACACATTATTTTGTATGAAATCAGAAATTTATTTTTTATATATGGAAAATTACTTGTTTAGAAACTGAATAAAAGTAAATTATAATTAAAATAATATTGCTAAATTCAATTAAAAATGATTGAAAAAACCTGCAGCAAAGAGAAAAGTGCTTCAAAGAAGGGTAATATAAAATGGGGAAACCCAAATGTTAAATCCGGAAGCAATGTATGAAAGTGTACACGTCATTCGAGAAAATAGTTGCTAAGTTGCTCCGACATGGCAGTTTAGGTGCCGCACCCGTATCGACATGACACTAGTATGGGTGTAGGTATGGGATCCATACCGGATCTGGTCAAACGATTTTGGATACTTTGACCATGACGGACGAAAAAATTCGAGATGATATACAATTTAATTCCCGAAATCAAAACCAAAATTAGGATAAATTTGAATAAAATAGCATACCTTATCTAGGAAATCAATCTTTTTCTTATCTACAACTTGAGAATAAAAAAGAAATTCACACTTTACAAGCTATACATAAGTATTCCCCAAAATTTATCATAATTTAGAAATATTTTTTATATTTTTATTTTTTGAATTATTTTTAGCCGGATCCTTGCACCCGTATCCGTACTAGGATCCGTATCCACGAATCTTAGAATTTACATCTCAAAGGATCCGACTTCTAGATCCGCACCCATGTTGGACACCTACACCCGTGTCCGAGTAACTTAGAATAGTTGTACAGAATAAACTCCTTTTGTTTTACTAATAAGTATTACTTCCGTCCCACTATGTACAACCTAGGATGAAATTTCTATGAATCTAATCTTACTATGAGAAATAATTGAATTAGTTTTTAAATTGAGCATCTTAGTTAAAATGATGATGGGAAGATTTGGAGAAAAAAAAGACATAAAGATCTTACAATAGTACTTAGAACAACCATAAATAATATAAAATACAATAATTTTTTGGAGATGGAAATACATTAATTTGAGCGTATGGAATTAATAACTTTTGTTCATTTAAAGACATGCATCATAATTCTAGCAAAAATAGAAAGTACCTCAAATAATACGTGAAAAAAGTAATAATATTTGTTCATTATCACTAAATTAAAGGACAAAGATAGATAGAGAGAAAAATATAAGTAAAATAGAACTCAACTATTGTACCTTTGTTCCCGTCCATAAATAACATAGTGAACTGGATTTGACTGCAAGATGAACAAGCTTTTTGGGTTCAAATTCAGCTGGCAATGACTCCCAAGGATAGCATTTCCACACAAACCAACGCAAGCTGTTGGGCAGATACTCAATAGAACCATCACAGGTACACGACCTCTCTATGTTTAATATCCTAAGCTTTTTCATATTTTTCATGGCCTCTTTGCTAAAGCGTAATGTACCACAATGGTAATAAGGAAACCAGATTGCTTCCATTTTCGTGGTCCCCTGGTAAGAAGATCATTAGTCTACAAAGTATAATTTCAGACGTAGTATAAAATCCGCTTGCTAATATGACTACTTTCTCACTCTTTGCAATGCCAAAGTATAAGATACAATATTAATTAGATTCTTTTTAAGAAATACTGACGTTACTTCAGAAAAATACTTTTTGCAATTAATTCTATAGTTTTATTTTCAATTATTACATTTTTCTTAGAAGTTCATTAGAGTCAAGTCTATAAGCTTTTCATGTTGTGATAGAAAGTAATTGTAATTGAAACAGGACCAATAAATTGTAACTTTTTTATAAAAATAATAATGGTAAAGTGAATGTTTGATTGAGTTATTATGTAATAAAATGTCATAAAATTTTCAAGTTAATCCAAAGAATGACATTGGATCAAACACATTAAGTGGCTACTAGACTAATCCATCGCTTAAAAATATAAGAAAAACGAATTAGGCGACGTAAATTAAAGAGGCTACTAAACGAATTAGGCAATTAATTTTTTTTATCTTATTAGGCAATTATTATTACTTTTGCTTCTTCTACTAACTAAAGTAAACAACTAAAATGACGTACCTGCAAGACTATGAAGCAGGGGGACAAATAAATGGAGTTGACTGCCCCATATGTCTTTGGAATATGAAAATTAGAAATTAAATATTATTGCATTGTTAAGCCTACTTACCTTATTGTTGATCATCACTTCTTCAAAATCCTCGTCGAGCCATAGCCTGCTGCATTCCCCCGAATCCTTTTGCAAGTTCACTATATATTTACCCATATCTTGCATTAAGTCATGCATTTGAATACGATCATTTTCAATGATGGACACAAGAGATTTGTCAATTAAGACACGCAATCCGTATTCAGCTGCACAATGACAACTCTCAAGAATTTGCATGGCATACTCTTTTTTTGCCCCTCGGAAGAAGCATGCTATATCTAGAAACATCTCTTGTTGTTTGGGCTCTAATCCATCATAACTAATTTTGAGCTTATCAACAATTCCAGAATTAGAGTAATTTTTCATGTGCTCTATAGCACTTTTCCATTCAGTTAGGCCTAGGTTATGTAGCAAAGAACCCCACACTCTGAGGGCTAAAGGAAGGCCTTTAGCATAATTTACTACCTCCAATGAAAGCTCCTTAAAATGCTCATTTGGAACCTCTTTTTTGAAAGCATGCTGATAGAACAATTGAATGGATTCATGGTCAGGTAGTGCAGTCACTTCATATATTACATCATTCTTCCCTATCAAATGCTTGTCTCTAGTTGTTACAATAATTCTACTGCCATTACCAAACCAATCAAGATGACCTGCTAAATACTCCAAATAATGATCTTTATCATCTATGTCATCAAGCACAATTAGGACCTTCTTAGAACGAAACCTACTAGCCATTTGGTGCTTTCCGTCCTCCTCACTATTGTTATTAGCTTTTTCCTTTAAAAGTTCAGAGAGAAGGATATTTTGCAGAGAATGCATTCCACGTTTGTTTTCTTTAATATTCGCAAGGAAACAAGCACCATCAAATTGATAAGAACTATCCCTTTTTACTAAGAGAGTATCAAACATAGCTCTAGCTATTGTCGTTTTACCGACTCCCCCCATGCCCCAAATCCCCACAATCCGAACATCATTGATTCCTATCCCTAGTAAGGATTCTATTTCCTTTAAATGAGTATCTATTCCAACAATGTTTTGCAAATAAGATAAAGAAATCTTGCATAATTTGGACGAGATTCGGTCAACAATCTGTCGAATACAGTCTGATTCAGTCCTACAAAATAAGAAGATTGTCGATATATACAGGTAAATAAGTCAAGAATTACAAGAGGTATTTCACACTGTAGAGTGCAGAATTATGATAAAAAGGACTGTGCACATAAATCAATCTCTTGAATTACCAATCTAAATATTATCTACGTAATAATGTCATTGAGTAATTAAATTGATAGGAACTATCCGTTCTTACTGATAAAAACATACATAATCAACCATTATTCTTTTTTCAGGAAATATAAAATAAAAATAGTTTTTAACCTTTAAATGATATTCAATGAAATTAGATTGTGCATGCAGTACTCTTAACAAAACAAAATGATTAACTTTCCACCTTTTAATTTTTTATTTTTGTAAATATGATAGATTTATTTAGCTAGAGTTTGGACATAGATTTGGTTGAAACTTGAAAAAATAGTTTTAGAAGTTGAAGTTGTGTTTGGACATGCATTTTATTTGGAAAAAAAACTTGAAATTTTGTGCGTGGAAGAGAAAAATTCAACAAAAAACGGTCCTAAACCAGTTTTTGGGAACTTGAAAAAAAAAATTTAACTTGTTTCAAAAACTATCATGTTCCATGAAACAAACAGTGTTTTTAATTTTTCTTTTAAAAAAGTAGCCAAAATCTATGGCCAAATTGGAGCTTAATGTCGATTTCGTTTAACTCATTTTAGGTGGTATAGATTCTTTGTTCTATAGTAGAATATGCATTAGTCTTCACATAATCATCCAAAACTGAATGGAAATTACTCCATTTTTATAAGGAATTGTGTTTTTAACTCACTTGTCACGAATATCACAGCCTTTGAGATTGGCCGCTGCAGTTAAAGCAATCCTCCAACTTTGTATTCCTTCGACATCATCCATATACTTTGTTTCATGTTTGGCAAATGCTTCAGCAAAGCTCTCCCTCTGGTTCCGAACATATGATGGATCCACATCATAGAAGACTGGTATTACAGTTTGTCCAAATTGAGTCTTGCAATTCATGATCTTCACTAGTTCATTCAAGCACCACCTCGATGTTGCATAATTCTTTGAGAAAATGATGACAGCACATTGAGACTCTTCGATAGCTTTACAGAGTTCATCTGAAATGGATGCGCCATGCTCTAGCCTTTTATCATCTTGAAAGGTTTTTATTCCCCTGATATCCAAGATTTCGTACAGGTGACTCGTAAATGTTTTCCGAGTATCTTCACCTCTAAAGCTTAGAAAGACATCATAGTTCCATCGAGGAAACTGTGAAGTACTCGCAAAAGTAGAAGATGATGCCATTGATTCAGTTAATTATCTGAAAAGAAAAAAAAAACTGTTTGTAGATAAATTGTAGTTGTGGTAAGGGATAAAATGATGATAATAGGAGAGAAAGAAATAAACAATTAGTAGCACTTCAAATAAGAAAAGTTTGTATGAGATGGGCTTTACTCCATAGAATTATTGGTATAGGACCTAGTCAACTGATACACTGTAACATTTAGTGTGGTAAAAAGTTATTGTGAAGCTTCTTCTTAATGCTCTACTCCAGGTGATTTGAATCATTGTTATTTTGTTTTCTTTGAAATTTAATAGAAGGAAGTAGGAACTATCCTTTCTTTAGTCCACTGTATGTAAGCCTGTAATATGTACACAATGGATAGCTAAAAGTACAAGCAGCTGAAGCTACAAAGAAAAAGAAGGGTAATATCCGAGCTATTTGATCATTAGGTCATATCCTTGGATGCATTTGGATATACAACTTGATGTACCTGACCTGAATTTAGTAACTTGATATACAATCTTTCATTTCCTCAAAAGAGACCAATTTAGATTCCAATTTAGTAGATTATTGATTGTTCCTGTTCTTGACAATTGAACTCAAACAGTATAAAAATAACATGACTTTTACAAAGGAAAAAAAGGTGAAGCAACTCACAGCGGAATCTCGCCGGAGGAGACGAAGTCTTGTGCGGTTTGATGCATTTGCCTAATCCTACTGTTCTTCTTATCTGCTAAAAAGTACAGAAAGTCAACGCAGCAAAACAAAGACAGCGAATTTGTCGCCATTTACACCCAATTGCTCTTGAAAAAACATTAAGAAAGGAAAGCTTTTTACCGAGATTTTCTGAGAGAATGACAAAAATGTCCCCCAAACAAATTTAAAATGTTCCCAGGCCTATACTATAGTTTTGGTACTTTGTGGGCGTTTGGACATAAAAACTGTAAACGGTTTGAGTTTTTCAAATTCCGAAAAAAATTCGAAATTCAAATTCAAGTAAAAATTAAAATTTTTATGGTTAAACATTAATTTCAAAAAAAAATACAAAAATCGAAAAAAAAGAAAGAAATCTTTTTATGGCCAAACGGGCCCTTTAAGTTTGTAAAAGGAGAGCATTTTAGTCTCCGTCAAATATTTGATCAAACTTTGATTGTTAGATTTAATTGGATCTATGGAAAACAAAGGTATGAACTCACATATGAATTTGCATTTCTATAATTTATGCTCTTTTTTTGGTCTATTTTTGGATTTGTTGCAACTTTTTAAGGTGCAGTTTTTGATATTTTTAATCTAGTGGTAGTGTATGGTGTAATGTTTAGTTTCTCAGATTTGACAGAACTTTCTACGTTCTAGTTCAATCTTTTTTAATAACATTTCCTATTAAATCTAGTTCTGGTGTGTTTTCGCACATTTTACTTGCCATAGCTTGTTAAATATTGGACGAAGACCAAAAAAGTTCACTTTTAACAAACTTAAAAGATAAATACTTCTTAGGTATGTACTCAAGGGACCATTTTTGTTATTTTCTTCTTTCTTGAATAGGGTTTCAAGATGGAGTTGTGCCTATTTGTGAATGGCCAACATTAGATTGAGGGACTAACGGCATTTTGAAACATATCACTTCTATTTTATCAAGATTTTATCGGATCTAGTAAATAATTTTATCCTTCTAAATTTACCAGCAAGATGAAGAATTAAAGAATCGTAGAGATCTCGGGGAATTTTTTTAGCAAATTCAACAGAACATCCAATAATTCAATGCAATAATTTTTCTGGGAGCTATTTACAAACGATCACTACTTCATTAACCTCATATATTCTACTATTAAATTTACTACTAGCTATTCCAACTAACATCAACTAATAAAATTAAGTAATTAACTAGCTTTTGCCAATAAGGATTACATTAGAGGCATTAAAATGGGACACTGCATCTTTCAAAGACTATTTCTAAGCCTATGCTTTTCAGTAGAACTTGTTAGTGGCAGAGAGTATTTGAGCTCTACATCCCAAAGGAAAAATGCTCGACCGCTGGAGGTACGTTTGATTCCAGGAAATAGTTCCCCTTTGGTCCGCTTGCTTTGTGGTGTGAGGCGGCTTACTACTAGTTCCAAGGCTTCTTTCATCCATCCGTTTTGGCACAGCTTTCTTGCTTCGCGAACATTCATCTGCAATTGGTTTTTGAAAGTCTACCTGTCAGCAAAGGCGAAGATGTGATTTCATTTCACAAGACTACTATTCTTGTCTAAGAGAGGCGTCATGTCACCTTTACTAATAAGAGCAAAATATAGATATATGTAGATTTAAAAAGAATGGATTATTGCATACCCAAGTAAGTTCTCTTGCGAATCTCTTTCTCAGGCCACGAGTCTAGTTGTTCTGCTACAAACAAAGGAAACATATGCTCTTCATGGGCAGTGTCACCGGCTTTGTTCCCAAAGTACCATGTTCCCAGTTTGCACTGCAAAAGTGATCAAAAACCAAAAGACTTATGAAAACCGCTTATAAGTAATCAAAATATAGATGTTATTGCTTTATCTAGATCGACATAAACAACACCAGCACATGTTATCACATATTGCTTATCCAAAACGATCACAACATCACATCTAATCATGAATTAGTGTAATCAGTCTTTAGAGCAAAGGGCTTCCAAACTTGCAACTTACTTTCATTAGAATGTGACCTTTGTTTCTAATGTTATTAGAGTATGCGACAGCAGCTGGCTTCATCAGTCGCGGTGCCATGGTGTTCACCATTGTCATATCTGCTCCTTATCCCAACACGATGTTCTGTTGGTTCATCTTTATACAACAAACGAACTCCAAACTTCTTCATTTCTCCAGAAAAAGATAGCCTGATATGCCCATAGTCATTTGGTGTTTTTCCATTTGCCTTGGATGTATCCCATAAGCCAGTAAGAGGTACCAAGAGAAAATGAATAGTGGATTCTACATCACGTTCTGGATGGTCGGATAACTCTAGTTCCCCGTTCATCAACAACATCTCATCATATTCTGAACGGTTGGATAATTCTAGTTCCTGGGTCATCCATGACATGCCATCATTACATAAGGGAATCAAGTGAACTGTGGTGTCAATTAAGCTGCCAGAGTAACATACAGCGAACCCCAAGAAGTTATCACATACATACCAATTTTCAGGCAAAATGACTGATACACTTCTATCCTTACCCTGATGTTGTAACCAACTTGGGATCTTCCTTTCAGGATGCACAATGGTAAATACTCTTAGTGACAAGGAATATGAAGCAGAAATGTCATTTTGCAAGGAGGAGACATTCTGAAACAGGGTATGTGCAAACAAATTATAGATCGAATCATTATATGCGTCATCTTTATCATACAGTGGCATGAATATCACCCTCTGTAGTTTCTTTCTCTTTGTTACTAAATCATGGATACTGTTCAGAGCCATATGACAATCTACATGCAATTCATTTAATTCTGGGGGAAGTTCTGGCAGCTGTGTAAGACTCTTGCACTCTGTTAAGTTCAAGAACCGAAGAGCGCCAAGTTGGGCCATGCTTCGAGGCAAATGCTCAAAATTATTTCCACTGAGATACAACACTTTCAAAGAGGATAAGCATCCAATGTCTTCCGGAAGTCCTCCATCTGTTAGATTGCAGTAACTGAGATTCAGAATTTCCAATGAACGTAATCCTTCAGCAACGGGAGGAAACACAAAGTACACTCCATCTTCGAGGCCTTTTTCTGATTTTTGTTTTGCTAAACTCAAGAATTTAAGCTTGTTCAACCGGACAATGGAAGGCGGAGGTTGTGAGATTAGAGTATCTCTGGCATTAAGCCGCACCAAGTTTTCTAAATCCCCTATCTCTTCTGGCAAGGTTTCAAGTTTTGAGCATCCTAACACATCTAGCTCCACCAAGCTTTTCAACTTGCAAATGCTGCTCGGAAGTGTTACAAGGTTTTTGAAACCTCTCAAATTTAGTTCCCTTATCCGACGGTCTCTCGTGTGAATCTCTAACTCCAGCTTCATGCTTCCGAGGATTTCTGGAAAATTTTCTAAAATAGAGCAATCTCGTAGACACAGATATTTAAGGGAATCGATGCACAGAGCTGGAAACCTCTTAAGCCGTTCACAATTAGTCAATTGTAATTTACGGAGCTTTTTACAAAATCCCAGGGAATGATGAACCTCTTCAAGATTCACACAGTTTGACAGATTCAATGTCTCCAAACTTGGCATCCCCATGAAACCTGGCAACTCTTTAAGCCTCTTGCAAGCTGACAGATTCAAAGTCTCCAAGTTTGGCATCCCCATGAAATCTGGCAACTCTTCAAGATTCAAACAAGATGACAGATACAACTTCTCCAAATTTGGCATCCTCCTGAAATTCAGCAAATCTTTAAGCCTCTTGCAATCTGATAAGTTCAAGGATCGAAGAGCAACAAGTTGGGCTACGCTTCAAGGCAAATGCTCAAAATTATTTCCACTGAGGTACAAGCTTTTCAAAGAGGATAAGCATCCGATGTCTTCCGGAAGTCCTCCATCTGTTAAGTTGCAGCAACTGAGATCCAGAATTTCCAATGAGTGTAATCCTTCTGCTACCGGAGGGAACATAAAGTACACTTCATCTTTGAAACCCAATAGATACCCCATTTCTTCAGTATCTTTTCCAAAATTCAAGGATTTAAGTTTGTTCAAGCACACTATGGAAGACGGAGGACATGAAATTAGAGTATTTTTGGCGTCAAGCTCCTCCAAGTTTTCTAAACCTCCTATCTCTTCTGGAAAGCTTTCAAGTTTTGAGCAACCCGACACATCTAGCTCCACCAAACTTTTCAACAAACCAATGCTGCTTGGAAGAGCTACAAGGTTTTTAAAAGAGCTTAAGTCTAGCTTGGTAGTATGAGTTAGGTACTGAATAATAGAAGATGGTAGTTCCCTTATCCCAGAGTATCTCATGTCAATCTCTAACTCCAGCTTCATTCTTCCGAGAATCTCTGGAAATTTCTCTAAACTTGAGCAATCATATAGATCCAGATATTCAAGAGATTCCACATTAACACATGGAAACCTCTTAACGCTTTTACAATGAAACAAATGTAACTCGATGAGTTTTCTGGAACATCCCAGGGAACCATGAACCTCTTCAAGATCACTACATTCCTCCAGATTCAAATACTCCAAATTTGGCATCCCCGTGAAATCTGGTGTTTGCATCAGGCTTTTAGAGAAGCCGAGATCTAGCTTCCGCAGAGACGGCAAATGCTGTTCAGAACACAGAAAGAATGAGATAGACAAAAAATGTTGTAAAAAGATTTAGCTAGTGGGCTATCTATGAATCTAGAAACTAATTTATTTTTTCCATTTTTATTGGTGGGCACCAAGTGACCTTCTGTTTTCTTGAATTTTAATTACCGTTGCTAGTGATCCTGAAAAGTACTTATTAGAAAATTTACTCCCTCAGACCAAAAAATGGATGATTTTGGATTATGAAGGTCAACACATTATTTTGTGTGAAATTAGATATTTATTTTTTATATCTTTATACGGAAATTACATGTATAGAAATGTATTATAATTTTTTTTATAAGTATAGAAGTGTATTATAAATAAAAGGCATATTACCTAAAAACTCTCCTAAACTTGACAAATTTTATTTAATGCACCAAAAAAAAAATGTTTAGACCCCACTATGTGGAATTACACTGGGTATGTTGTTCTTGTTGTTGTTAAATTTTGTATGGTCTTAATTTTAATAACAAACAGTCAAGTTTAAGGGGGTAATTAAGACAATATAAAGTTTAGGTATACACTGAATAAAATGTGCCAAGTTTAGGGGAGGGGGGGATGTAGGTATTCTGCCTAAATAGAAAATATTGTTAAATCTATTTAGAAATGATTGAAAAAAATTGTAGCCAAAGAAAATTTTTGTCTCTTTAACGAAGTGTAATATTGAACGGGAAAAACAAAGTGTTAAATTCAGAAGCAATGTATGAAAGCTTATATATCATTCTAGAAAATAGTTGTACAGAATGAACTACTTTTATTTTAATAAGTTTTTCTTCACTCGCACGCATAAAACCTATGATGAGATTCATGTCTTGTTAAGAAAATGTTGTATGAGTTTAAATTTGAGCTTATTAGTTAAAATTATGATGGAAAGATTTGAAAAAAGAAAAAGAAATAAATATCTTATAGTAACAATATGACAACACAAAATAGTATAAAACACATTAATTTGAGTTTGTGGAATTAATAACTTTGTTTCATTTAAAGACAGGCATCATAATTCTCAGAAAAGCTAAAATAGAAAGTCTCTCAAATAAAACGGGACGAAAGACATCACTAAAGGACAAAAATAGTTATAGAGGAAAACAAAAATAAAATAGAACTCAACCATTGTACCTTTGTTCCCGTCCATAGATGACGCACTAAACTGAAACTGAGATTAAGATGAACAAGCTTTCTGGGTTCAAAATTAGTTGGCAATGACTCACAAGGATAGAGATCCCACACAAACCAACGCAAGTTGTTGGACAGGTACTCAATGCAGCCACCATGGATCTGCAAATGCCCGTCCTGCTCATGTATGTATAATATCCTATGCCTTTTCATATTTTTCATTGCCTCTTTGTTAAAGCACAGTTTTTCAAAATAACGAAACCAGATTGCTTCCACTGCCTTGGTCCCCTGGCAAAAAGATCATTAGTCAACAAAGTATAAAATTTACTTGCCATTATGACTACTTTTGGACTCCTCTCAATGCCAAACTTCGTTGAAGAGCTAGCTAGCACCACTAAAAAAATTTAAGGGAGTATTAGTTAGGTCTTCTTTAAGAAATAGGTCGCTTAAGAGAAATACTTAGTGCAATTAAGTCTCTAATTCAATTTTCTAATAATGCATTTTCTGAGAACTTTTTTAAGTCAAGTCTAAAAGTTTTCCATGCAATGATAGAACGAAATTATTTGAAACAGTACCAACAAACTGTCATTTTTCAAATAAAAAATAATCAATGGTAAAGTGAATTCTTGATTGAGTATTGGTAAGGTAAGTTTTGTCCCTCCTAATTTTTACTTTTTCATTTGAGGATTTATATTAATAAAAAGTTACTCGGGGTAAATATCTAGTGATATCATCTTTAAAAATTCCTGATTGAGTTATTATGTACAAAATAACATACAAATTTTAAGTTAATCCAAAGAATGAAAGTTGGATTAAACAGCTTAAGCGGCTACTAAACTAATTCATAGCTTAATAACATAAGCGAATTAGGCAACATTAATTAAAGTGCCTACTTGACGAATTATGCCGCGTTAGCCAACTAATGTTACTTTTGCTTCTCCTGCAAAAGTAAACAACTAAAATGGCGTACATGCAAGAATATGAAGCAAGAAGAACAAATAATTGGAATTGACTGCCCTATATGTCATTGAATATGAAAACTAGAAATTAAATATTATTGCATGGTTTAGCCTACTTATTGTATTGTTGATCATCACTTCATCGAAATCCTCGGCGAGCCATAGTCTGCTACGTTCCCCCGGATATTTTTGCATGTTCACTATATATTTACCCATATCCTGTATTAAGTCATGCATTTGAATCCGATTATATTCAGAGATGAACACAAGAGATTTGTCAATTAAAATGCGCAATCCGTATTCAGCTCCAATATGACAACTCTCAAGAATTTGTAGGATGTAATCTTTTCCTTCCCCTCGTAAGAAGCATTCTATATCTAGAAACATCTCTTGTTGTATGGGATCTAATCCATCATAACTAATTTTGAGCTTTTCAACAATTTTTGAATTAGAATTGACTTTCGTTTGCTCTATAGCACTTCTCCAAACAGTTATATCCCTCTTATGTAACGAAGAACCCCACACTTTGAGGGCTAAAGGAAGGCCTTTAGCATGACTTACTACGTCCAATATTAGCTTCTCAAAACACACATCTGGATCTTCTTCTTTAAAAGCATATTGCTTGAACAACTGCGTAGCTTCATGATCAGGTAGTGTAGTCACTTCATATATTACATCATTCTTCCCTATCAAATGCTTGTCTCTAGTTGTTACGATAACTCTAGTGCCCTTACCAAACCAACTAAGATCACCTGCTAAATACTCCAATTGTTCTCCATCATCTATGTCATCAAGCACAATTAGGACCTTCTTAGAACAAAGTCTGTCCGGAATCATCTGCTTCCCTTCAAGCTTATTATTGACGCAATCATCTTTGCTTCTTAACAATTTAGAGAGAAGAGTGTTTTGTAAAGAATGCAGTTGATATCTTTTTTCATTTTCTTTAACATCCGCAAGGAAACAAGCAGCTTCAAACTGATACGAGAGTGTATCAAAAATGGCTTTTGCTATTGTCGTTTTACCGACTCCTCCCATGCCACAAATCCCCAGGATACGAACATCATTAGTTTCTATCTCTAGTAGGGATTTTACTTTCTCTAAATGAGTATTTATTCCCACAACATCTTGCAGGGATAAAGCTATCTTGCATAATTTGGAAATTTGGTCAACAATGTGTTGAATACAGTCTGATTCAATCCTACGGGAAAAAAAAGATTGTTGATATATACAAGTAAGAAATTAAGTCAATAACAAGCACACCGTAGACGTAGAGTACACAATTATGATAAAAAGGACTAAGCACATAAATCAAACTCTTGAAGAGCCAACCAACATAGTATCTATGTAACAATGTTATTGAGTAATATTGCTAGGAACTATCCCTTCGTACTTATAGAAACATATATAATCAGCTATCATTCTTTTTCGAGAAAATATGAAAAAAATTATTTAAGATTCTGTTTAACTCATTTTGAGGTACAGATTCTCTGTTCTAGAGTAGAATATGTGTACCCAGTCCTCATAGAAGCATCCAAATTTGAATAGAAATTATTCCCTCTGTTCCAGTTTATGTGTTTTTAACTCACCCGTCACATAATTTGCAGGTGTCATATCCTTTTAGATTTGCGGCAGCAGTTAGAGCAGTCCTCCATCTTTGCACCTTTTGCATTCCTTCAACATCATCCTTATACTTTGATTCATGTTTGGCAAAGGCTTCTGCAAAGCTCTCCCTCTGGTTTCGGACTTCGGATGGATCCACATCATAGAAGACCGGTATGACAATTTGTCCAAACTGATTCTTGCAATCCATGATCTTCACTAGTTCATCCAAGCACCACCTCGATGTAGCATAATTCTTTGAGAAAATGATGAGGGCAACTTGAGATTCTTCAATAGCTTTCAAGAGTTCTTCGGATACAATGCGCCATGCTCTAGCCTTTTGTCATCTTGAAAGGCTTTAATTCCCATGTTTTCCAAGTGTTTGTACAGGCGACCTGTAAATGTTTTCCGAGTATCTTCACCTCTAAAACTTAGAAAGACTTTGTAGTTCCATCGAGGAAACTGCGAAATACTCGCAGAACCATGGATTCAATTGTACGTCTGAAAAGAAGAAACAAAACCGTGTGGTAAGATTGTGGTTGTGATAAGAGTTCAACTGATTATAATAGGAGAGAAGAAATAAAACAATTTAGTACTTCAAAAGTTCAAATATGAAATGTTTGTATGAGATGGGCTCTACTCCGTAGAATTATTGTATTGGACCTAGTCAACTAATATACACTGTAGGATTAGAAGTTGTAGGAAATTTTTGTGAAGCTTCTTAATGCTCTACTCCAGTTGATTTGAATTATTGTTATTGAGTTTTCTTTGAACTTTAATAGAAGGAAGTCGAAAATTCCTTCAAAGACTACCCTCCTGCACCAAACTCCATTGTAATATGTACACAATGAACAACTAAAAGTACAAGAGGATGAAGCTGCAAAGAAAGAGTGTACCTAGGAAAATATCCCAGTTGAACCGAATTATTGCTCCAAAAGTCCAAACACAAACGTCCCTTTCTCTTCTCTGGCAAAAACTTGTCCTCCTACTAACCAATTTATCCATGAAAAGACCCCCATTGAGTGAATTGTTTGTAGTTTTCCGCGGAAGTTGAAAAAGTCTTGAATTTACTCAAACCCTATAAATGTTTTAGCATTCAAGCACCCAAATTCAGCTAAATTCTCAATTTCTAGTGAGGTCGATTAAAAGCAATGTTCAGGATTCAAGTCCCCGAATTCACCTCAATTCTCAATTGTAGTTACTCCACAGCGAAAGGAACTCAAATTCATAGATTTTGAGATCGATTGGACACTCTACTGCAAATATTATGATGTTTCAAAATCATTAACAACTCTCAGATCTATCAAATTAACTTTTCAACAACCGCTTCGGTTACTTAAATATAGAAATTACTATGCCTATTACAAAGAAAAAGAGGTGAAGTAAGCTACTCACAGTCGAATCTCAATCTCGCTGGAGAAGGAGAAGAAGAAATGAAATTTCTTATCTGCTAAAAGAGAACACAAAGTTCCTCACAAATTTAAGATGGTCCCTTAAATTATACTCCTATATAGTTTTGGTGCTTTAAGTTTGTAAAGTAGCATTTTGATCTCTATTAAAAAAGAGAGCATTTTGATGAACAAACTGTGATCGTTAGATTTAATTGGAACTGTGAAAGACATATGTACGATTGTTTACCCGAAAAATGGATATAGTTAAATTTATACGCAGTTTTAAAGATATGTGGTACAACTTAATACAGAATGCTAGGATAAATAAAAGGATGAATATAGGTTGGAGAAAACGTAATCCAGGCGAATCAATTATGAACAGTGAATTTAGGATTTAACAAAATAGAATCAATCTAAGAAACTAGAAATATCACCCTTGCTTACAGAGGAAATAATACAGTTTTTGATAGTCTAAGTCTAAAAAAAAATGCCCTACAAGAATGATAAACAAGCCCTTTTATAGTCAAAGGGTTTGGCTCCAAGTATAATNAACCGTACCGGACATGCCAAGGCTGAAACCCATTTCGACCGTGTACAGATAATCCCCTCGTTTCTCAGAAAGAAATATGGCGAGAAACGATATGATTTTCAATGGCTCGATCGGATTATATCTTGTCGATTCCATCAAGTTCGACCATTACGCACATGATAGCTATCCTATCGGTTTAGTCTTTCAAGGCATTTAATGCATGTCAGGCGGTGGTCGGCCACCGTTGATAACGAACCGCCGTCGCTTTGAACCTATAAATAACTCTCACCTTTATCTTTTACCATTTTTGCATCTTCTATCTTCTAAAATTTCTATATTTCTTCTTTATACTCTACAGCCTACCAAAAAAGCTGTGATTTCTTTCCGAAAAGACCCCTCAATTCTACCAAATCTCTATCACTTTCTTCTACTCCTTATTTTTTAATTCAAAAATATGGTGAAAACATCGCAAACCGTTTCTCAGAAAGAGAAAGCTTCATCTTCACATTGTGTCGCCGATGAGACATCGGCGGAGCCATGGCCAGAGGAGTGTGTCCCCGAAGCGTGCGTCCTTACTTCAGATTTTAAAGTTGATAAAGGTTCATCGGTCCCTGGCCGGTGTGAGCCGGTATCGAGGTACATGTGTTCGATTACTGAGAAGCACCTCGATCTGTTAAAGAAGGACTGCAATTGGGGGGAAAAAGAAGTGATAATACCTACCCCTGACGAAGACATCACTTCTCACGTGAAAGGGTTTTTGAACGTATATACTTACCCTTTCACTTTGGGTCCCCTCGATTCCATCGTTATCGACTTCTGTCGACAGTATCAGGTAACCTTAGGCCAGGTCCATCCTTCTTTGTGGCGGATCATTATTCTGATCCGATATTTCGTGAGCAAAATCGAGGGGATGTCGTTTACCCTCGATCATCTTATCCGGCTGTACCGTCCCCGACTTTTTGGGGAGGGTTAATAAAACTCCAGCGTCGGACTACCAAGGCTTTGTTCTCGAGCATTGACGAGGACATGGACTGGGTTGGATGAGCAGGTTCGTTCGAGTAAGGACTTCGGACCTGATCCCGACTGAAAAGATGCTCTTTCCCGAGGAGTGGAATTTGAAACGTAAGTGTGATTTTGCTATTGCTTCTATTTCGTTCTTTCATTTTTTTCTCTTATCGATACTCCTCTTTTCGTGATGTAGCGGTTCCCTGGATGCCCGGAGCGGTTCCCAAGCTCAAGAATTGGGTATGGGATCTTGTTTCGACTTTCACATACGCCGAACGCTCATGGCGTGATTTGTCTAAGGGTCGGTGGGAGGCCAAAAATCACGGTAAGCTCATTTCTCGGACTCCGACGAGGCATTTCTCGATATTTTTTATAAGGTTTCCCATATGCAGGTTTGGGTAAGGATGCGGTCTTGAGACCTCTGTCTAATGAGGAGGATGTCTCGACCTTCATTCCAAAGCCGGTGAAGAAAAATAAAAGGAAGAGAGCTTCGTTGCCCGAATATCCAAAACCGAAGAAAAGGACGGCTCGTAAGCCGAACAAGAATGTTATTCCTTTGATCATAGAATCCGTTTTGCGCCTAAGGGATGAGGAAGAAGAGGAAGAGGATAATGAGTCCACGCTGGCGGTCCGGACGAAGAGAGCCACCGATGCTTCAACACCGGCTGGATCGATGATGCCCTCTAGGGCTCCGTCTCGAACTGAAAATATACCGGAGAGAGGTTCTGGTAGAGTCCCCGAACTATCGGATGTCGAAGACTCCTCTCATCGGAATCAACCGGCAGGGGTTACAATCGAAGAGCCTTTCGAACCCCTCCAAGCCGAGGGGAATGCTCCGAGCGAGTCACTTGGGGCAGCAACGATCGAGGACTCGCCTACCTTTCCCGCTTTTTCGCAGGGGTGATTCGGGAAGCTCAAGCTCTAGGAGCCCTCGATCTAGGTAGGCCTCACGATGAAGAGGATCCGTTTCATGACCTGTTTACTAGTATCGAGGATGTTGCCGGTGCCGGTGATGAATCAGATCTTTTTCACGGTTTGCGGCAGGCTTTGAACCAAGTGAGTCTTTTAAAAATGTTTTTGTTGGTATTGCCTTTATGTTCATCTTTCGTTAATTTCGCTTCTTGTTCCTTCATAGGCTACGGCGGTCCATTGAGAACAATGTTCTCGTTCCTAGAATGAGCTGCATCGATACGCGGCCGACCTGAAATGCGCTACCGATGAGAGAAACTCTCTCAAACTTTCCTTAGGGCAGAGAGAGAAGGAAATAAAAGATCTCCGAGCCGAGCTGGCCAAGGCTTATCGAGACCAGAATGATTTGTCTGAGCAGGTAATGATGCTTTTGAAAACCCATGGGTTCGATACCAGAACGGTAGCTAACATTTCGGTCTCACAGCTGCAGCAAAAAATCGAGATGATAGGGAAGCTGCATGAGGAGGTCGATGTGATAAGGATGGAATCCTTGCGGTGGAAAGAAGGTATGGACCGCTTTGATGCAGAAAAAGAGACTGCTCGAGCCCAGTTATCGTCGTCTGAAACCCAACTTCAGAAAATGAAGGAAAAAGGCCTGGTTCAAGCAAGAAAAATTGAGGAGCTTGAGGCTCGGATGGCCTCAGTACTCGCCAAGGCCGAATCCGATGCTGAAATGGCAAAGACTTATGCGGATGCGCTCGTGGCCGTCTATCGGGCTGATGCTGAAGCTGCCCAAGTTCAGGCAAGAGAGGCAGCCGAATCTGCCAATGGTCGGGCGCATTGGGTCGCCGAACTTGCTAAGTACCGATCCAGGAGAGAAACTCTCGAGGAGATTCATGCTCGCGGCTTCGATCTCACAGAAGAGATAAAAAGGGCAAAAGAACTCGAAGCTGATGCTGAAGCTCTGGTTTCCGATGATGATGACGACGACGATGGGAGCAAAAGCGGATACGAGAACGGGGGGAACCTCATAAAGAAGAGACCGCTCTCATTTAATTTTTTTTTTTTTTTTTTTTTTTGTAGCCACCTATGTAGATAAATTTTGTGTATAGGCATATCTCTACGTATTAAACCACTTAATCAAACTTGAACCTCGTGGTCTCTGCAACCGAGCGAGCGTTTATTCAAACTTAGGGCAATGTAGCCCTTTAGGCTTTTAACGATCGAGCGAGTGTTTGGTTGTGCTCGAATTGATGTAACCCGTAGGCTATTTGGTCGAATGAGTGTTTGCTCAAACTCGAAATAAAAAATAAAAAATAGACCGTAGGCTTGATCGAGTGAATGATTCGAACTCGAATTAATGCAGTCCGTAGGCTATTTGGTCGAGTGAGTGTTTGCTCGGACTCGAAATAAAAAATAGCTCGTAGGCTCGATCGAGTGAATGATTCGAACTCGAATTGATGCAGCCTGTAGGCTATTTGGTCGAGTGAGTGTTTGCTCGAACTCGAAATAAAAAATAGCCCGTAGGCCTGGTCGAGTGAATGATTCGAACTCGAATTGATGCAGCCCGTAGGCTATTTGGTCGAGTGAGTGTTTGCTCGAACTCAAAATAAAAAATAGCCCGTAGGCCTGGTCGAGTGAATGAATCGAACTCG